TGGAAAGGTGCAAAAAAGCCCGCGGACTAAAATAGAATTAAATAGGTAGACCATGATAAAGCTTATCAAAATTTATTTATAATTAAATTTGATTGATTAGTCCCTGCTTTGATTATAGACTCACCACACGATGCATGATGCTGGTAACTTAGATAGCCACATTAACACCTTAGGCTATCCACATCACCAAACTCAGCGCCCATTCGTCTTCATCTATTCCGTAGTCTATGTTGAAATGTGGGGTGCCGTTGTTGTAGTTTGATAGTTTTCCTCCACTACACTATGTCCCCGCCATCCTCAGTGCCTCTTTCAGTGTCAAACCCGCCCATTCTCTTCAACATATTAACAAATCGTTCCACTAAACTTAAGCCGCTTAATTCAAGCTCTAAAGCTAAGTATTAAGGCAGAGTTTCTTCCAGGCATCCCCCCGAACGAAATGAAATTTATATAATTTATATAGAAAATATATACTTTTAACAGTGTCCAAATTATTTTGCTTTTATCTTTTATCACCCCCCCCCCCCCCACACACACACCCTGCTAACTAAAAAAAAGGATTCTCACATTCAGGTTAGACAATGTGTGCACAGTCCATTACCATAAAAACTGACAGATACGCCAACAGATCGCGAGTGAAACCAGGTCCTTTTATATGAGAGATGTAGGACACATCTCATATTTTCTCTACTGCATTAATGAGTTGACCCATTAATCTACTTCTTTGTACATTGAGGTCACAAGACGACAATGTAAGCCGCCCGTCACACGTTACGTCATAGGTTGACCTAGTGGTTATCGAAGTTTTAATCTTGACCCCCTCCCCTTGAATGAAGACCATAACATATGCAGACGGGGTATTGTGCACATATTGTACCAAATATTATTAGACTTTAGCGACACACCAACCTGCCCCATGTAAGAACGAAATAACTAACTGATGCCATCCCAAGCCCCCTCCGTAACATGGAATGTGCGAGCGATCACATTGTGAATATTAAAGTGAGTTTACAATTAATTTTATTAAAAAAAAAACCTTTAATAAAAGCCTTAAAATTGAAAATAACAAAATAAAACCAAACTTTCTTTCCTTGTTCCCATGGTTTCTTTCGGGCAATTTTCTCCGAATGGTGGGGGGGGGGGGGGGGGGTGAAACTTCTGGGGGGGGGGGGGGGGGGGGTGGAGGTTGAAACTTTGGGTGAGGGCGGGGGGTTGAAACTTTGGGGGGGGGGGGAGAGGTTGAAACTTTAGGGGAGGCGGTGTTAAAACTTTGGGGGGGGGGGGGAGTTGAAACTTTTTGGAGCGCATTTAAAATTTCAGAAGGGGTGGAAGCCTGAGAGAAAGTCAGTTGGTCGTTAAATTTTGTCATGGGATTTTATAAGCCTAGGTATGTTTTTTTTTAAAATTTAATTATGGGGGGACACAAAATAAAGGAGAGGGGGGGGGGGGGACACACCAAATCGAAAAATCATAAAATAGACTGTCAAAATAATGTGGCACCCTAGCTGATGACGCCAGTGACTGGCGGCACTACGTCAGGTTAACCACCCTCGCATCAACTCCATCTCAACCCCATCCCAACCCCATCCCAACTCCATGCCAACTCCATCTCAACCCCATCTCAACCCCATCCCAACCCAATACCAACTCCATGCCAACCTCCATGCAAACCCCCATGCCAACCCCGAACGTTCCCTTCTTAATACCTACTATATCCATTTATATTGTTAACATTTTTCCTAGTGTATAATTCGCTGTTTTATAATACATAGATTGTTGGGGTAATATGCCTATTAACATAAGTCACCAATAATGGACATTAACATAAATTCATATTTATAATATTAATTCATACAACTAATTCCAACAGGTGTGAAGTTTTCTAAAGAATATCGGCAACCGGTTGAGATAGGTAAACAAAACACATTAAAAAAAATTAAATCTGGAAAATCATTGTACTGTTTCCCACTCCTGTAACCCTTAAATGATTCCGTTAAAAATCTAGCTATTCAATGGTCATTATGTTGTTTTTTTAAAGTAGTTTGTATTAGTTTGACCGACAAAAATTGTATATATTTCATAGCGTACGTCTTGATGACTAAATCTATATCTAAATCAAATTTAAATGAAGTAGTTCTTCCTTTATATTCTAAAATCGGAAGATTCACATATTAAAAAAAAATTAAGTTTGGTTTCGTGTGTCTCGAACCCGTGCCACCCGCACGGTGTTAAGTTCACAATCATCTCAGCTATTTAGGCACCTTATGAGATACGAAAAATAAAAGATGTGGTAATGAGAAATGTAACACGCGAATAGGCCTATTATTTCTAATTAAAATTTTTATCTTAAATTAGCCAGTTCCATAGACAAACAAACAAAGATTTCTATAAAATAATTAAGGCCTGAAATAGTTTAATGTAGAAATTTATTATTGGAATAGATTCTAGTGTGAATAGATTCTAGAGTAGATATAATATAGTCAAAATCTAGATCTTAGCGTCTACGTTTAGTTTTTGCGTAGATCTAAATCTAGTCTAGATCTAGAATATCTAAATCTAGAATCCAAATAGATCTAGATAAGTTTAAGCCGGGAAAATTGTATTGCTTACATTTCATAGCGTATGTAGCTCTAAATCATATTTGAATGAAATAGTTCATTTCTTTTTATTCTCAAACTCGGAAGATGACGTCATTAGTTTCGTGCTCTTTCCTTAGCATAAATACTAAGCGACGTCATTGTTAAATGCGTTCTTGTCCCAACTATAAACATTTTTCCGGTTGCATAATTAACATTGTTTTTCTACATTCGAATACGCCTTTATTTTTTATTTTTCTTCTTTAAATAAAATTGTGGTTATACATTAAAAACATCTACCATATTATTTTCAACAAAAGTCCGTATCAAGTTCTCCATATATCGCTGAAGATTCGGATGTGATATCCTGCGAAAATATTTTACGGCGGACAGAGAGAGAGAGAGAGAGAGAGAGAGAGAGAGAGAGAGAGAGGCACCCCATGCGAATGGCTATCTCTGTTTCTGTCAATGATCTGATCACTGAGTAACTAATAGATATACCAGCACTTCCTGGGAGAGAGGAGAGAGAGAGAGAGAGAGAGAGAAGTGCGCACATGGGCTTTTATATATTAGGATAATATATATATATATATATATATATATATATATATATATATATATATATATATATATATATATATATATATATATATATAGGATATGTAGGCCTACGTTGCCGCAGTGTTACAATAGACAGTGATGTTTTGTTTCTGTAGTTTTCGTGTCCTACTTTTACTGCTCCTAATTTGAGAACACTTGCCCTGAATAAAAGACCACCCTGTGCTTACAGCTTTTTTTTTGTGCACTAAGAATTTTTGTCCTCGTTTTCTGCTGCCAAAAAAACCCACCTCGTTCTTGTGACGTAAAAAATACAGGTGTTGCCGATGAGCGGGGAGCCCCGCCGGATATATAGGGGACAACTAATCGCATAAAAACCTAGTGCAGTTTTGAGCGACGGAATTGTTACGGAGGTAAGTCATAGAGGTACTTTACGAAATTCCGGCAGATCGTATCGCAACTGTATATTTATTGATATTATACATACACCAAACCTAGCCAAACTCCTAGCTAAATTATTCTGCAACAAATTTTTGCTTACCACCACATTATTGTAACATCATACTGATAATTAGAAAAACTGATGCGTTACACGAAATAAAAGCCATCGAGTTTAAATCTTTCTTGCACAAAAAAACAAAACCATCGCCGACAGCTGCCCATTAAGTTTATCGACAACTGACCATCATTAAGTTTATCGACAACTGCCCATCATTACGTTTATCGACAACTACCCATCATTAAGTTTATCGACAACTGCCCATCATTACGTTTATCGACAACTACCCATCATTAAGTTTATCGACAACTGCCCATCATTACGTTTATCGACAACTGCCCATCATGAAGTTTATCGACAACTACCCATCATTAAGTTTATCGACAACTACCCATCATGAAGTTTATCGACAACTACCCATCATGAAGTTTATCGACAACTACCAATCATTAAGTTTATCGACAACTACCCATCATTAAGTTTATCGACAACTACCCATCATTAAGTTTATCGACAACTGCCCATCATTAAGTTTATCGACAACTACCCATCATTAAGTTTATCGACAACTACCCATCATTAAGTTTATCGACAACTACCCATCATTAAGTTTATCGACAACTGCCCATCATTAAGTTTATCGACAACTACCCATCATTAAGTTTATCGACAACTACCCATCATTAAGTTTATCGACAACTACCCATCATTAAGTTTATCGACAACTACCCATCATGAAGTTTATCGACAACTACCCATCATTAAGTTTATCGACAACTGCCCATCATTAAATTTATCGACAACTACCCATCATTAAGTTTATCGACAACTACCCATCATTAAGTTTATCGACAACTACCCATCATTAAGTTTATCGACAACTACCCATCATTAAATTTATCGACAACTGCCCATCATTAAGTTTATCGACAACTGCCCTTCATTAAGTTTATCGACAACTGCCCATCATTAAGTTTATCGACAACTGCCCTTCATTAAGTTTATCGACAACTGACCACCATTAAGTTTATCGACAACTGACCACCATTAAGTTTATCGTAAAGTGACCACCACTAAGCATATTGCCGAATGTATCACAATTAATTACCAAATGATATAACTTTATTCAATCGGGACTCGGAACTATGGGACGTCCTTGAGCTCACCCAGCTCTGATGGGTACCCAACCTACGTTGGGGAAAATAAAGGCGGGCATAGTTCGCTATCTAGCCACCGAACACATTGTAATCTATCTTAGTAGCGTATTTCAACATTGTGAACTGAATCCTATTTTTTCAGCATCTAATGTGACTAACCTAACGTCGGAAAAATCGACTGACTGGGACGAAAGATTGAAGCCTAGAGGACAAGACATTTTCCTACAGATAGACAATTTGTCAATCAAAAGTTACAGACTGTAGAAATAAAACAAAAGTGGTGACATGATGGAGTCCCAACGAGCGGCCAGTGTGGGGGAGGGATACATTGAACTCGAGGCGGTGAGGCGGAGAACAGACGACAAAATCCCGTTTTATAAATCGGAAGTGATGACCATCAAACATTCATATCCGGTACGTTTCGTTTGGCGCTGAGCAATTTTTAACTTTATTTAGGCTACTTCATAGCAGGCTTGTATATAGCAAAAGTTTCTAATTTAGCAAAGTTTCTTCTAGGCATCTCTTCAAGGCTTCCCCCACACCGCGGAAATTTTAGTCTGCCCCCTCCCCCCCCCCCCCCAGGACAATTTTAAGTGGTCTCCCCCGAAGAAAAAAGTCTGAAAGAAACACTGGTTTTTAGAATACATTTTATACCGTATTCAATTTGTCTCTGTTGGAATATAAGGATTGCGTTATGCGTCGTTTGATAATGCTGACATCTATGACATTTTAATTTTCAAACATTACCTGGAAACATGTCTGTCCCACCGTTCCGTTTCCTGGTACCTGAACACGCCACACCTGGCCCGTGTAAGTGGATCTATCCCATGACCTACGGGGGAGGGCTGGTGGGAGGGGACAAGATCACGGCCACCATCAAGGTTGGGGCGGGGTGTGCGGCGGTGGTCTGCAGCCAGGAGTCAACCAAGGTAGGTCAGCTGGTGATGGACATTGGACAGGTGGACACATTTATTTTGGATAGTTTTTACAGGTGAGCAAAAGGTGGGCAAAGGTACTGTAGGCTACTGATAAAGCTGGTTGAAAGCTCTGTACCTTTTACTAAAGAGGCTGTTCTACTCAGGTTTGACTTACTGCGAGTGACACGGAAGTTATTGCTGAATTCATCCACTATTCACAATTGGTATGAGTGTTCATGCGAAAGTGTATGTGACATAGAGAGTGTGAGAGAGAGAGAGAGAAAGAGAGAGAGAGAGTGTGCGTGAGAGAGATGTCATTACGGACAGTGGTATATCAAAAGTTCTAGGCTGTCAGATAAGCTATCTCGTGCTGGACCGTGCCATTGTTTAGATCAGGGGTCTCCAAACTTTTCAGTCTGAGGGCCGCATTAACTATCAAATTTCAGTTCGGGGGCCAGTTTCTTTCAGGCATGTCTTTGATTTTTCTGGGCAAAGTTCCTCAGCCATCACCAACAAACGTTTTTTTCCGTGGACAAAAAGATCTCCGCGGGCCGGATGAGAGGACATCGCGGGCCGCATCCGGCCCGCGGGCCGTAGTTTGGAGACCCCTGGTTTAGATCTTAACCTTTGTAACACCTGACCTTTGACCTGTGCCCAGGTGTACCACTGCAACATGAGCCACGAGACGGTCCAAAACTTCAACTACAGCCTGGGTGAGTCAGCTCTGCTGTGTCTTACCTGACCCAACCGTCTGCTACAAGGATGCCAACTTCTGCCAGAAACAGGTTGGTCCACTTGATGAAGCTGTCATAGTAGGTCAACAAAATCTGATGTTTCCCAATGTTTTTGATGGTCAACAAAATCTGATGTTTCCTCATGTTTTTGATGGTCGACAAAATCTGATGTTTCCCAATGTTTTTGATGGTCAACAAAATCTGATGTTTCCCAATGTTTTTGACGGCCAACAAAACCTGATGTTTCCTCATGTTTTTGATGGTCAACAAAATCTGATGTTTCCCAATGTTTTTGATGGCCAACAAAACCTGATGTTTCCTCATGTTTTTGATGGCCAACAAAACCTGATGTTTCCTCATGTTTTTGATGGTCGACAAAATCTGATGTTTCCCAATGTTTTTGATGGTCAACAAAATCTGATGTTTCCCAATGTTTTTGACGGCCAACAAAACCTGATGTTTCCTCATGTTTTTGATGGTCAACAAAATCTGATGTTTCCTCATGTTTTTGATGGTCAACAAAATCTGATGTTTCCCAATGTTTTTGATGGCCAACAAAACCTGATGTTTCCTTATGTTTTTGATGGCCAACAAAATCTGATGTTTCCTTATGTTTTTGATGGTCAACAAAATCTGATGTTCCCCATGTTTTTATCGTCCAACAAAACCTGATGTTTCCCGTCCTTTCAACCAGGTGATCCACATGACGCCCACCTCTAGCCTTGTATTCCTGGACTGGATGTTGTGTGGGAGACAGGCCCTGGGGGAATTCTGGTGCTTCAAAAGGTAAACAATCATGCAACAACTTGCAGCCTAAACTGTTATTAGCTCATTCATTTAACTGGCTAGTGGACACTGGACTTCACTGTGCATGCCTGTTGAAATATGAATTACTTTAGCTTTTGATAATGTTCTGAAATTTATTAAAAGTTTAATTAAGTTAGATTCAGAATTGTAGGTAATTCGAAAAAAGTGTAAATTAAATTAGGTTTTTTAATTAAATTAAATTAAATCTACGAAAATCTGAATTAAATTACTTTTACAACTGTAATTAATTCTATGACAATCTACATTAAATTAGGTTTAACAACTGCAATTAAGTCTATGACAATCTAAATTGAATTAGGTTTAACAACTGCACCGAAATCTATGTGGGGGAGGAGTTGATAGTCAGAGATAGCACTGACCTTGAAGACAAACCCAATGAAACTGTTGCTCAGGCCATGGAGAACTTCCAGGTATCTTATAATCTTTTTTTGGTTCATTTAAAGTAGTGATTCTTAACCTTTTGGAGTACCGAACCCCACCATTTTCATACGCGCATTCGCCGAATCCTTCTTAATAGTTCTTAGTTCCGCACTGACAAAATCTGATGGTAAAACCTGAGTCGAGTGTGTCTTTACCTCAACCGAACCTCTGAAACTGACTAATCGAACCCCTGGGTTTCGATAGAACCCATGTTAAGAACCATTTATTTTAAGGCCGTCAGTTTAAAAAGTTCTATTTAAACAACGTTTTGTTTGATTTTTTAAAAAAAGTAACATTTAAACAATCATTGTTTCAATAACTCAAACAACCGTTTTTTTTTAAATCATATAGTTTTAAAAAAAAAAGAAATCGTAATCTATTGGTCGTTTGGGTATGGTGACAGAAGGTACGATAAGAAAATATTTTAGAAAGTGCATGAAGATTCTGACGACATACGAAGTCTGTAGAATGAATGTCAAATTTGTCAACATACCAAGTCTGAAGATTGTATGACGATTCTGTCAACATACAGAGTCTGTAGAATGCAACTGAGTTGAGCTTCTCTTATGGTGCAGGTTTACTTGAAACTTGTGATGGAGAATTAAGCTGTCTACATATCACATACTACATAGTTGATCTAGATGTTAACTGGGCTGTTGAAGTCTAGATGCTAAATCCAGCAGTTAAACTTTAGCTTGCTTTCTTTGCCAGGTCTACGGCACGTGCTTTATCTTGGGTGAAGGTCTCTGTTTTCTCGTGGAGAGTTTATTGAACATTTATGGGAGGACAAGAGATTCAGGTAATTAACATTTATGGGAGGACAAGAGATTCAGGTAATTAACATTTATGGGAGGACAAGAGATTCAGGTAATTAACATTTATGGGAGGACACTAGATTCAGGTAATTAATATTTATGGAAGGACAAGAGATTCAGGTAATTAACATTTATGGGAGGACACTAGATTCAGGGAGCTAATATTTATGGAAGGACAAGAGATTCAGGTAATTAACATTTATGGGATGACACGAGATTCAGGTAATTAACGGTTATGGGAGGGAGGTCACGAGATTCAGGTAATTAACATTTTTGGGAGGACAAGATATTCAGTTATTTAACATTTATGGGAGGACGCGAGATTCAGGCAATTAAGATTCTCTATCAAAATATATAATCTGTAACAATTAACTTTAGAAGTGTTTTTAAATATACAAAATGTATTCCATTTCATGTATATTTTTGGTTTCTAAAAACTTGTTACTTCCTAATTTCTATTAATTAAAGGGATATAATTTTACAATCTTTTGTGTGGACTATGTAATAGATATATATATAAGGTATAGACTACTATTTTAAAATACAAATGAAAATATTTTTATTGAAGAGATCTTTGGTAAAAATTAAGAAACGATATTTTTCTTTATTTTAGAAAATTACCACAATAAATAGAGACCTGCTTTGTTTTGTTGTAAAATTAATTTTCAGAGAAATAATTTGTGTGTGTGTGCTAAGGTTGTAGATCCAGTATTAACGATTAGTTTTGTTTGATGCCCTATGTAGGTGAACAAATAAACCGCGACTGTGTTGTGAGCATTTGCCCGACCAGATACACTGTGTCAGGGGAGACAATTGAAGGCTGTTACCTCAGGTTTCTTGCCTCAGACATGAAACATGTAAGTCCCACAAGTTTGTGTTCTTCTCGAAAACAAATAATTTTTTTCCGCTCCGTACCGCTAATTAATTTCATTAGTCTTTCTAATTAGTCATATATCACACAACTTTGTGTCCATCTATTTCTAATCTTTTTTTCTAACTATTTTTGGGTGATTAAAAAATGTAAACGTTAATTAATTCTAACGATTTTTTAAATTATATTTTTAACTGGCCAAAACCTACTATTTATATGAAAACGTATCAGTAAAGCTGACACGAATGTACAGGTTGATCATACGGGCTGTTAACACAAGTACTGTCATACATCTTATACTGGCCTGTCTGATTTAGAACACTGCTTAATGAAGTTCTGTCAGTATCGATATTAAAAAAAGCTGCGCTATATTAGTCCTACTACCTGCTATTATTTTCTTCGTCTGTGAGTTCTGTCAGAGTTTCTTTCAGGCATCTCTTCGGGGGGCAATGCTTCTCCCCCCCCCCCCCCCCCCCCCGAACAAAAATAGAATTTATACACTATTGTCCGCCCGCATAAAAATTTAAAATATTATTGTAAACGTTCCAATTCTTCTTCAGGCTTCAAAAGTGATCCGTGACATATGTAGCCCACTGCAGCATATACTTGGAGGTGATCCTTTTCAAAGGAAGTTGTAAATCTGAATCATATGGCCCAAGTTGAATCATATGAGGCCCAATCTGGACCGTATATGGCCCACTCAGGTTCATATGTGGCCCAGTCAGGGTTCATAAGTTATATGTAACAATCTGGACCATTAGGTATCTAGTCATGTGTTGGACAACTGACCAATATCTTTTACGTTTAATTTTTGTGATGATTATTTTTTTTTCAAGATTCGTGTAATTTTTATTACAAGCTTTTATTTAACTCACTTCCTCTGTCGACAGTCTGTCTGTCTAGATGGAAACGCAGGAGTGAAAATTCGGAAACTTCTACTTGACCGATACGATTCACACTTGGCACGTGGGTCAAGACATGAAGACAATGCAATCTGAAACTAAATTTGACTTAATTGGATGCCTAATTAATTTTTTATGAATTAATTAAAATTTGGACCGAATTAGTAGGCATGTCTAGCCAACCACACCACACGCGTCATCACCTTCAATAGCTGCGCCATCACGTAATGGCTGCGTTCAAAAACCATTGCGCGCCTACTGAACGTGATGTTCAGTAGGCGCGCAATGGTTTTTAGTCATGTAACTCTATTGTAAATAAAACATGTAAAGTACTGAAAAAAAAACTCATAAAAAACGTTTTAATAACAAGCTTTTATGTAATGATGCACTAAAAAGTAGAAAATAAATTATAGACTACTATTTAAATAACTATAAAGAAAAGCGTGGGTGTCTTCCTTAACATTAGTAAAGGTATCCAATAGATACTAAAGTGACCCACGCTTTTCTTTATAGTTATTTAAATAGTAGTCTATAATTTATTTTCTACTTTTTAGTGCATCATTACATAAAAGCTTGTTATTAAAACGTTTTTTATGAGTTTTTTTTGCACATGTACATTACTAAATAGGCTGTTTAAAACGAATTAATATTAATTTTTATAATTTTATATTTATTATTATTATTAGTAATTTTTATAATTTTGTTTATAATTTTTGTTTATAATAATCTGTTGTAAAACAGGTTGATTAAATGTGATAATATATGTTAATATGTATTTATTATTTGTCAGTTTACTTGTGACAGTGTTTCTTTGAAACGTTTTTCACCGGGCGGGGGCGGGGGGAGGAAGGGGGGCACTTGATATTTTCGGGGGGGGGGGGGGGGGGGGGCGGACTAAATTTTCCTGGGGGGGGGGGGGGGGGGGGGCTGGCAAAAGTATATATTTTATACATGGATTCCATTTCGTTTGCAGCCCAGCCCCCCACCCCCCCCCCCCCCCACCCGAAGAGATGCCTGGAAGAAATTTGTGACCGACTGATTATACTATTCTACCTCTTAGTTAAAAATCGCAAGGCGGCAACATTAGACATTAGGTGTACTTCTAAACTATAAATTGAATTATCTAAAGACGCTGTATGCAAGTGTTCTAAATCAACATGCAAGACAGAGGCGTAGCGATGGGGGGGGAGCAGGGGGGGGACATATGTCTCCGGGCGCCGAGCTTAGGGGCGCCAAAATGGGTTGTAAAAACAAATTAAAATGTCATTTTAGCTATAAGTTGATGGGAGGGGGGTGCAAATCGAAAGTTTGAGGGGGGGGGGGGGGGTGGGTGGGGGGTGCAAATCGAAAACTTGAGGTGGGGGTGCAAATTGAAAATTTGCTACCGAGGGGGGCGCCGAATTGAAAGTTTGTCCCCAGGCGCCGGGAAAGGTCGCTACGCCTCTGATGCAAGAAAAAACGAAACAATTTTTATTCATTTGGTAATGACGAAGAAGTACAACTCAAGTTAAACATTATCAAACCTAAAAATATTAAACAAAAATGCTACTAGGAAGGGGCCCATTAAAGTAAACAAAAGACAAACAGATGAAATGAAAGAGCTCCCATATTTAGGCGACACTGCCAATTAACAAAGGTGATTGCAGCATTGAAATTAAAACATAAATCTCCAAAGCCAAGGGACACCACACGGAAAATGGATAAAGGGAAGGTCTAGACAGACATTGAGACGTACAACCACACCACAAGGGAAGGTCTAGACATAGAGACGTACAACAACACCACAAGAGAAGGTCTAGACAGACATTGAGACGTACAACCACACCACAAGGGAAGGTCTAGACAGACATTGAGACGTACAACCACACCACAAGGGAAGGTCTAGACAGACATTGAGACGTACAACCACACCACAAGGGAAGGTCTAGACAGACATTGAGACGTACAACCACACCACAAGGGAAGGTCTAGACAGACATTGAGACGTACAACCACACCACAAGGGAAGGTCTAGACAGACATTGAGACGTACAACCACACCACAAGGGAATGTCTAGACAGACATTGAGACGTACAACCACACCACAAGAGAAGGTCTAGACAGACATTGAGACGTACAACCACACCACAAGGGAAGGTCTAGACCGACACTGAGACGTACAACCACACCACAAGGGAAGGTCTAGACAGACATTGAGACGTACAACCACACCACAAGAGAAGGTCTAGACATTGAGACGTACAACCACACCACAAGGGAAGGTCTAGACATTGAGACGTACAACCACACCACAAGGGAAGGTCTAGACATTGAGACGTACAACCACACCACAAGGGAAGGTCTAGACATTGAGACCTACAGCCACACCACAAGGGAAGGTCTAGACAGACACGTAGACATACAACCACACCACAAGGGAAGGTCTAGACATTGAGACGTACAACTGAGAACTAGTTAAGGCAGGCTGTCGTGGAGAACTCGCGAGAAATCTGCCAAAGACTGTCAGAAACAAATTAAGCAGTGGCCCCAGTACCCCTGACCCTCACCCTGATGGAACAAGCTGGTAGAAACTCGTGTATCTCACACTTCAGTCCTTGACAAAAAAATGAAACATGTAGCTATATATAGTTTCTTTTTTTGTTTCGCTCATTGCAGCTACCCTTTTTTGTGCGATACAAAATTTATAGAAACTGGTACAGAACTACAAAAGGTTTACCTTCCTATTCATGGATTCATGACTCCATATTTCAAGACTATTCCTTTAATTTTTCGTTAAACGTTTTTTCTTTCTTTTTACTCTATTATAACAAGATCTACAAAGAATTACAGCTATATTTTCCATGCCTATCCTTACCTAGTTCTTCTCACTAACCTATTTGGTCGTCTATCTTGATAGCCTTGACCCATAACAGCGATGAAAGATAACAGTTCCATCTGCAAATTATTATTTTAAAAAACCCTATTCTATTCTCAGAAGACCTAGCTCTATAATAGCATGGAAACAAAATTTTAATAAACCATTAAAAATTTAAATAAAAAATATTTTCATAACGCTTTCTAGAGCAAGGTCTAAGCAAGGGAAACAACCAAGAAAACTACCAACTCTCAAAATTCTGGAGTAGCTAATCTTGAATTTAAAATAAACCGGGAGTGATCTCCCCTAAACTTTCTCAAATATTCTTATGTAACACTAAGTAGGATGGCAACTCGGAATTTAGATCTATACATGATTTTTAATTACTTAAACTTTTAAAAATAGAATAGAATCTCGAAGAAAAAAGGATTGCGCACCAAGCGAACGCCAAAACAAAATGTGCATAATAGTGCGGAATATTATTAGTTTTAATTTACATTCGTTTTTTGAGAAATCGGAAATAGCGTAAATTAGTACTTTCGGTCAACGGAAATTACTCAAAATTTGACAGAAGGTAGAGGATTAGATCTTTTACTTACGGGTGAAAATTCATTTATCTGAAATAGTACTCAAGTTATAGGCTTTTGAAAAATTCAAAGTAGAAAAAGTACCATTTCCGGTTATATGAAATCGCTCAAAAGTTGATACGGATCTACGATTTTGATAAAATACCTATATATGAAATTTCAACAACCTCTCTGTAACGATACTCAAGTTATCGTGTTTACAGACACACAGACCCACATACACACAGACATACGGACAAGATTGCAAACATATGTTTTTCCGACTCAGGGAGGCGTAAAACGTCGAGATTTTTACAAATCTTGATATATTTTTTTTTTGTACGATTACAAGACTTTCTCTATACTTCGTGTATACGAGAATGTAAAAAAATAAATAAACCGGGAGTGATCTCCCCTAAACTTTCTCGAATATTCTTATATAAAACAACAGGGGATGGGAACTCGGGATATAGTTATGATTTTTAATCCATTTTAAATACTTAAACTTTTTAAAATAGAATAGAATCTCATAGAAAAAAGAATTGCGCACCAAGCGAACGCCAAAACAAAATGTTCAATATAGTGCGGAATAGTATCAGTACTTTTTAAATTTACATGCGTTTTTTGAGAAATCGGAAATAGCGTAAATTACTACAACGGGGTCGGCGTGGTCGAGTCGGTAAAGCTCGTGGTTGCTAAACCGAAAAGTCTCGAGTTCGAACCCTCGGGCAGATGAGGCTCGTTAGCTGTGGGACAGCCACTCTTCTAGGAGAGACAACTCCAAAATTAAACAACTGCTGCCTTGTAGTTTGTTCTTGGTTGGACAAAGGCTATGGAAGCAAATCCAAAAAGAAAAGCAGGCTGAAATCGGAGTCAATGGCCTCAATGGCGCATAACCAGTTGACACGTAACGCTTAATTGTGTTGGAGGCGTGGTCGAGTCGGCAAAAAGCTCATGGTTGATAAATTCGAACAAAGTCTCGAGTTCAAACCCACTGGCAGATAAATCTCGATCCCTTCAACACTAATAATTAAGAACGAAGAAGAAGAAGAAGAACTACAACGGAAATTACTCAAAATTTGACAGAAGGTAGAAGATTAGATCTTTTACTTACGGGTGAAAATTCATTTATCTGAAATAGTACTCAAGTTATAGGCTTTTGAAAAATTCAAAGTGAAAAAAGTGCCACTTCCGTTTATCGGAAATCGCTCAAAAGTTGATATGGATCTACGATTTTGATAAAATACTTATATATGAAATTTCATTAACCTAACTGTAACGGTACTCAAGTTATCGTTTTACAGACACACACACACACACACACACACATACACACACACACAGACACACTCACAGACA